TCCAACAGTATGACGTTTCTGACGGCCACTGAAATGGTCAACGCTAATAGGCAAGCTTTAGCAAGGCGTGAATAAAAACGTTGTTTCAGAAGAGACAATATTGCAGCATTTCGCGAATTCTCTGCACCACTTTTTATGATGTCATTTCCTATCGTTTCGATATCTACCAACAATGCATCGGTATTATTAAACCATTGGGGAAATTTAGACGAACTGTTTACCGATTACATCGTAACCGACACAAGGTAAAAGACGGAAATGGCTGGAGTCGTGTGTAAAACCGATTGGTTAAGCGAAAGCGTGAAAACCTTGTGTCGGTAATACTAAAGGGGGGAGGGGGTGGTACCCTCAACGAGGCAAGATGCCGCTCATCAAATGGCGGGTTTATCTCTTCTCTTTAGTTACGTAATCCCACCAACATTCAACTATGTTTGTAGCTAATTTGAAGGCCTGTTGATATTCTTACACATTCTATATATTTGTATCAGTTTTCATCTAATATTTGGAGTGTATGTTGTAATTATTTCAGTTTTGTTCCAAAAACAATATTTATATAAGTGTCCTTGACACCTTTCAGTCTTGTTTTAAACATTTATTTTCTTGTTCACCTATTTACAAAACAGTTAGGGCTTTGTGGCGTGTTGACTTCTTATTTTATCATAGGATCGGGACGAACTGCACTAGGGGCGTTGACAGGGGACATGAAAAAGAAGTAAAATGTTGAGTTATGAACGTTTCTTGTTGATATTTTCTATAAAAACAAGTTACGGCTTTCCGACAGTGTCGTCATATAATTATCATCAGGGCGAGACGCAAGACGTTGACGGATGTCCTTTCATATTCAAAATAATTAAAGTGGTTGCTATATAAAGTTATTATTAATAGATAGTCATTTAACTATTTAATATAACATGATAATTTTATTTATCCAGATCGAAACTGTACATATCAACATAATTGTTATTCTTATCTGCTTTGAAATCAAGTAATTCTCCATGTTACCCTAGTCGTTTCTTTCTTTCCCTCACTAATCCATTACATGGCCTGTCTTGCAGTAAAAAAATCTTAGACATAAAAAAAATCATTAAAATATTTATTAAATCGATTCATTCATATCACAAATTAGTCGTTATATATAATAGTTGTGTTAAAGTGGCGGAACACAAAATTATCAAAAATATCGTAAATTATACCTGATGATATATTCGAAGTGTGCGAAATTCATTTTGGAAGTGTGCAAAATTCATTTTGGAAGTGTGCAAAATTCATTTTGGAAGTGTGCGAAATTCATTTTGGAAATAAGTGATGATCGGACATCATCATGTGTGCGAAATTCATTTTTTGGAAATAAGTGATGACCGGCCATCATCATGTGTGATATTTTTCTTTCAGCAATAGGACATTAGTGTACACAAACTGACATTTTTTTGTATATTTGCATGTGCATGTTTTAACTTTGATTTTGTATATATGTTTTGTTTTTTTCTTTTGTGTTTTAATTTTTTTTACTCGTTTTGCGATTTGTTTTGCTTGGTTTTCTTCCGTTTTTATTTAATTTTTTCTTTTGTATATTTTTCAAGAAAATCATAATTATGTATTTTCTACTCTGGGAGGGAAACTTATGTAGCGGGGTTTAAGTCTAAATTCAATCTAAATTAATCATTTCGGGTAAACTAAGACTTTGCATAATATTTTAATAGATTAACATTTTATCAGACACCAAGGAAATCATTTCGGGCATAGATTTAATTGGGATAGATTGGCAATGGGTTCACACAATAGGGTTACAACAGATCGACTTCTGTCAACGTAGGGGATTAAAAGTATCAATGGGTTATGTCATGTGAATGTCCACTTGGAACAAAGAAGCTGTAGACACAAAGCATTTTATAGACAATAGGGATTTAGGGGCAAAGCATTTTATAGACAATAGAGAGTTCACTTAAAGGGTTTGAAGAAAGGGTCTGGGTAACAAAGCATTTCTCACTTGAATGACCATTAGGAAACGGGGGTTTGAAAAATCATACACTAGAATAACCAATAGAAAGATAGTGTTTGAAAAACAATGATTTGGATAGAGAATAGAGTAAAGTAATAGGGTCGGGAGTGGAAGAGAGAGTCACTTATTCTTTAGCTTTTGGACAAGACAGTAGCTGTGTAGATTCTAGGTTCTTGGGTAGTCCTTAGATGTTCAGTTAGGCTTTAGATTTAGTGTTAGAAATTTAGTAAGACTTTAATTATTTAGACGTGTACATTGATGAAAATAAAAAGGATTGATCTGACTCCAATACATTGTGTCTTGGGAAGAAGGAAAACCACAGTTTGTCGGTCGGTCTTTAGGCATAACTAGCCTTATAAAAGATAAAACAGAATCAACAATAACTTGTTTAAATAAATTCATGAATTACCTGAGAACACAGTAGATTGCTATACCGACTATAGTAAGTAATATTACAGCTGCTAGAATTACACCCAATGTAATTACGTAGACATTTCCAACATAATTAGATTGATTTGTACATGTATTATCAGTTGGTGCAGGACCTTCTGCGGTTGAATTTACAACAGTTGTTGAAGGGATAGTGGGTGTAGTTGAGTCCATGACAGATTCATCTTAAAGAAGATTAAAAAGAAATACTGCGTGTGAGTCATGGTATATGTCTATAGTTTGTAATAACTTTGCATTGTGAAGATAATACATATGATTTACCTGCACGACGTTTCTTTCGCCTAAAAGCATATAGTCATTTCAAATATGTGTATACAATTGTGCTAAAATCCATATTATTTCAGCTTTTAGTTTGTTCAACAACTGTTTTCAACTATAAAAACTCTTACCAGAATGATAAAAACTCTTACCAGAATAATAAAAACTCTAACCAGAATGATACAAACTCATACCGGAATTCTAAAAACTCTCACCAGAACGATAAAAACTCTCACCAGAATAATAAAAACTCTAACCAGAATGATAAAAACTCTTACCAGAATGATAAAAACTCTAACCAGAATGATAAAAACTCTTACCAGAATGATAAAAACTCTAACCAGAATGATAAAAACTCTTGCCAGAATAATAAGAACTCTAACCAGAATGATAAAAATTCTTACCAGAATGATAAAAACTCTTACCAGAATGATAAAAACTCTTACCAGAATGATAAAAACTCTTACCAGAATGATAAAAACACTTACCAGAATAATAAAAACTCTTACCAGAATGATAAAAACTCTTACCAGAATGATAAAAACTCTCGCCAGAACGATAGAAACTCTTACCAGAATGATAAAAACTCTTGACAGAATGATAAAAACTCTAACCAGAATGATAAAAACTCTTACCAGAATAATAAAAACTCTAACCAGAATGATAAAAACTCTTACCAGAATGATAAAAACTCTTACTAGAATGATAAAAACTCCCACCAGAATGATAAAAACTCTAACCAGAATGATAAAAACTCTAACCAGAATGATAAAAACTCTAACCAGAATGATAAAAACTCTTACCAGAATGATAAAAACACTACCAGAATGT